GCTACACCCACTGACTGACTCCCAGTTTGTCCCTTCCCCAGCCTCTGGCAATCACATTCCACTCTCTGCTCTGTGAGCCTCACTGTCTCAGATACCTCACGTAAGTGAACTCGTGCAGTATTTGTCTTGCTGTGGCTGGCTTATTTCACCTCACAAAAGGTGTGTCAGAACTTTCTTTCTTTGTAAGGCTAAATAAAATTCCCTTGTATGCATATATTGCATTTTCTTTATCTTTTCATCCATTAGTGGACATGCAGGTTGCTTCTGCCTGTGGCAAATAATGGTGCAATGACTAAAGGGTGCAAATATCTCTTCAGGATTTTGTTGTCAAGAGCTAGGAGTGTGACTTAAGTGGTAGAGCATGTGCCTAGCAGGTGCTGGGTCCTGAGTTCAAACCTGAGTACTGCCAAAACAAACAAACAAAAAGATTCAGTTTTCAGGCTGAGGCTGTAGCTCAGCAGTAGAGTGCTTGCCTGGCACACTCAAGGTCTTGGGTTTAATCCCCAGCACCAGCAAGGTGGAATTGCCCGATCAGATGGTCATTTTGGTTTTATTATTTATTTTTTGAGGAACCTCCATGCTGTTTTCCACACTAGCTGCAGTGTCTTACTTTCTACCAGCTGTGTATGAGGGCTCCAATTTCTGCACATCCTTGCTAACATTTGTTAGTTCCCTGTATTTATTTATTTTTCATAATGGCCAGTCTGGCAAGTGTGAGGTGTTGTCTTATGGTTTTGATTTGCATTTCCCTGATGATGGGTGATTTTAGCCCTTGGTGTGTCTTTGGAGAATTGTCTTTTTAAGTCCTTGGCCCATTTTGTAAACGAGCTATTTGTTTTCTTAATATTGAATTGCTTGAATTTTGAATATTAACCCCTCCCAGATGTGTGGTTTGTAAATATATTCTCTCATTCCTTTTTAACTATGCCGACTGTTTCCTTGCTGTGCAGGAGCTTTTCAGTTTGAAGTGGTCCCATCTGTCTACTTTTGCTATTATTGCTTGTGCTTTGATGTCACATCCAAAAAGTCACTGTTAAGACCAATGTGATGAAGATTTTCGTATTTGTTTTCTTATAGGAGTTTTACACTTCTAGATCTGTGTTTAGGCCTTGTATCTACTTTGAGTTAATTTTTGGCGAGGTGTAATATAGGGGTCCAATGCCATTCTTTTGCATGTAGATAATCCAGTTTTCCCAGTACCAGTCTCTTTTCCCCAGTGTGTAATCTTGGCACCGTGGATTTATTTCTAGTCCATTCCCTTGATCTATCTGCCTGTCTATGCCAGTAGCATACTGTTTCAATTATCTTAGCTTTGTAATATCCTTTGAAGTCAGTAAGGTGAGGCTTTCAGCTTTGTTCTTTTCTTTCTCGATGTTTGTGGTTCCATACGAATTTTAGGATTTTTTTTTTTCCTATTTCTGAAAAAAAAAGCCATTGGGATTTTGGTAGGAATTGAATCTATACATTACATTGGGTAGCATGGCCATTTTAACAGCTTTAAGTCTTCCAGTCATGAACGAGGGATACCTTTTTATTTATTTGTACCTTCTTTACTTTTTTTTTTCAGCAGTGTTTTGTGTTCATAACCTCCCTTGGCTGTAATGCTTCCTAAGTGTTTTATTCTTTTGCTATTGTTATGCATGAAATTGTTTCTTAATTTCCTTTTTGGATGATTTGTTGTTAGTGTTTAGAGACACAACTAAGTTTTGTATGTTGATTTTATATTCTGCAACTTTGCTAAACTTGCTTATTAGTTCTAACAGATTTTGTGTGTGTGTGTGTGTGTTTGTGTGTGATCATTAGGGCTTTCATGCAAGTAAGATCATGCCATCTGGAGGCAGAGATAATTTGATTCTTCCATTTTCATTTGGGTGTCTTTTACTTCTTTTTCTTGCCCATTGCTCTAGCTATGAATTCGAGCACTGTGTTGAATAGCAGTGGACAGAATAGGCATGCTTGTCTTGTCCCTGATCTCAGAGGAAGTCTTTCAGGCTTCACATTGAGGATGGTGTTAGGGTGGGCTTCTCATGTGTGGATATTACATTGCAGTACTCCATTCCTAGTTTATTCAGCACTTTTGTCATGAAAGAACGTTAAATTTTGTCAAAGCTTTTTCTGTATCTGTTAAGATGATCATGTGGATTTTATCCTTTGTTCTGTTAATGTAATGTGTCATATTGATTGGTTTATGCACATTGAACCAAAACTTACTTGATTATTGTATAGGCCTATTTTAATGTGCTGTTGAATTTGGTTTTCAAATATTTTTTAAGGATTTTTGCATTTATATTCTTTGGAGGATGTTGGCCTGTAGTTTTCATTTGTTTGTTTTTGTAGTCTTTGGTTTTGGTACCAGGGTGATGCTGGCCTTATAAAGCGAGTTTGAAAGTGCTGCCCTTTTCTCCCCTTTAGTTTTTTGAAGAGTCTGAAGAGGACTGACATTAATTCTTCTTTGAGTGTTTGATGTTTCATTGCTAACTCAGGCTTCTTACTAATTACAGGTCTGTTCAGATTTTCTATTTCTTGGTGATTCAGTATTGGTATGTTGTCTGTTTCTAGGAATTTATCCATCCTCTCTAAGTTATCCAGTTTCTTGGTGTATGGTATGCATAGTAGTCCCTTATGAAATTTTTATTTCTCTGGCATCAGTTGTAATGTCTTCTCCTTTACTTCTGATTTTGAGTTTTTAGAAAAAATTCTTAGTCTAGGTAAAGTTTTGTTGTTTTTGTTGAAAAGTTTTTTTATTTCTCAAAAAACTGACTCAGTTTTCTTGATGTTTTTCTATTATCTCTTATTTATTTCTGCTCTAGTCATTTTTTTTTCATTCTGGTAACTTTAGGCTTAGTTTGTCCTTTTTGTAGCTTCTTGAGGCCCAGAGCTATGTTATTTACATGAGATTTTTATTATTTTGTATGCTTTTCTTTTTCTTATTTTTAAATGTAGGCATTTATGGCCATAAAATTCCCTCTTAGTACTGCTTGGGTCGTAGGTTTTGTTATGCTGTGTTTTCATTTTCACTTGTCTCAAGATTTTTTTTTTTTTTTTGGGTGTGATACTGGGGTTTGAACTCAGGGCTATGTGCTTTGCTGGGCAGGCACTCTACCACTTGAGCCACATCCCCGGCCCTTTTTGCTTTAGGTATTTTTTGTATAGGGTCTTGCTTTTATTCCCCTGGCTGGCCTGGACCTTGATCATCCTATTTATGCTTTCTGCATAGCTGGGATGACAGGTGTGTGCACCGCCCTGCCCAACGTTTATTGATTGAGACGAGATCTTGCAAACTTTTTGTCTTGGCTAGCCTCGAACTTTGATCCTCCCAATCTCTGCCTCTTGAGTAGCCAGGATTATAGATGGAAGCCCTGTGCTCAGTTGTCTCAAGATATTTTCTAATTCTTCTCACACCCCTTTGCAATTATGTGACTGTACAGTTTATTTATCCATCATTTGGGTTACATGTTGTTTAATTTCCACATGTATGAATTTTTACTGCTGTTGATTTTTAGTTTTATTCCATTATGGTTGGATATATATATATATGATTTCAATCTTCCTAAATTTAAGACTTGCTTTGTGACCTACCATGCTTTATTCTGGCAAATGTTCTGTGGCGCTTGAGAAGAATTTGTGTTCACTCTGCTACTGATGGATGGAACGTTCAGTATATGTCTGGTAGGCACATTTGGACCGTAGTGTTGTGCAAGTCCTCTCTCTCTCTTTCTTAATGATCTTCCATCAGGATATAGTATCTTCTTTTACATTTTTCAGTACTGGAGTTTGAACTCAGGGCCTACACCTTGAGCCACTGTACAGCCCTTTGCCGTGTTGGGTTTTTTTGAGATAGAGTCTTGAGAACTATTTGCCCTGGCTGGCTTTGAACCTCAATCCTTCTGAGCTCTGCCTCCTGAGTAGCTAGGATTACAGGTGTGAGCCACCAGCACCTGGCAGGTTATAGTATCTTATTGAAAGTGGAATATTGAAATCTATTATTGTTTAGCTATGTGTTTCCCCCTTCAGTTTTGTTTGCCTCATATATTTTGATCCTATGATGTCAGATTGTTATATATATTTATGATTTTTATATCTTCCTTGTGAAATGTCCTTTTGTCTCCTAATACTTTTTGACTTAAAGTTTATATTGTCAGATGTAAGTATGCCCCCCTGTGTTAGTTATCTGTAAGAAAATATCCCAGCTAATCAACCTTAAAAAGCAGAAGGTTTATTTTGCTTTCCAGTTTGAGAGGTCTTATCCCATGGTCAGTTGACTTATGGCTTTTGGACCTGTAGAAGGCAGCATTCAATGGAAGTGAGTGGAAGAGGAAGACTGTCATCCCCATGGCTGAGGCTAAAAGACAGAGAGGAAAAGGCAGCAGGGCTCTATAATTCCTTCCATCTAACTTTCTTCCATGAGGCCTGCCTACAAGTGGCTTCACAGCCTTTCAGTTGTGCCATGCCTCCAACCCAAACTATAAGACCTTGTGATCTATTTTGGTTTCCATTATTTGCTTGGAGTGTCCTCTTCTGTCCCTTCATTTTGAGTCTCTGTGTATCTTTAAACATAAATCAAGACTTTGCTATACAATGTATAGCTGGATCTTGTTTTTTTCTTATTCATTCCTCCATCAAAAAAAGTTACTTTTTTTTTTGATGATACAGGGGTTTGAACCCAGTGCTTCATGCTTGCAAAGCAGGTACTCTACCATTTAAACCACACCTCCAGTCCAGTTTGCTCTGGTTATTTTCGGAGATGGGGAGGGGGGGTCTTACAAACTGTTTGCCTGGGCTGGTCTCGAACCATGATCCTCCTGATTTCAGCCTTCCAAGTAGCTAGGATTGCAGGCATGAGCTACTGGTGCCCAGTAAAAAAGATTATCGTTTTAAAGCATTTCTTTGCATTCAGTAAATATGTATGCTTTTACATTCAAGTTTTTCTCAAAACTAAAGGCTCTAGTAATTTGTTCTTCCCCTTCATTTCATATTTTTATTTTTCTTTCTCATTTAACAGACAACGTATCTGATTCCTTAACACGACCACAACCTGATCCTGAAGATGTGCTCCACAAACCCAGGCAACTGGGTCACCTTTGATGATGACCCTGCTTTTCAATCTTCTCAAAAGTCTAAGAATTTCCCTCTGGAGAATCAAGGTGTTTGTCGACCAAATGGACTTAAGCTGAACCTCCCTGGCCTTAAAGAATTTCCTAGTGGATCTTCCTCTACCAGCAGCACCCCTCTGTCCTCTCCCATTGTTGACTTTTACTTCAGTCCAGGACCTCCAAGTAATTCTCCTCTTTCTACCCCTACCAAAGATTTCCCAGGTTTTCCTGGCATCCCTAAAGCAGGGACTCATGTGCTTTATCCTATTCCAGAATCTTCAAATAGCCCCCTGACAGCAGGAACAAGTTCTTCCTTAACACCTACTAAACCAACTGCATTCTTACCCAGTGACCACTCATGTACACCCCCGGCTCCCAAAGTTGGTCCTCCACAGGACACCCCTCGGCAGGCTGACAGCCTAGGTGTCCAAACTGATGCTCCATGGTTTCAATATTTTCGGGAAGACTGTGCTTTTTCAAATCCATTTTGGAAAGATGGGGGCAGTTCTTCTCAGTTTGCCTTTGACCCTCCAGGAAGCAGAAAGCCATTCTTATCAAGAGACAAGGAGATGCCTCTTGATCAAAAAAGCCTAAATAAATGTTCACTCAGCTACATCTGTGAAAAGCTTGAACATCTCCAGTCAGCTGAGAACCAAGACCCTCTTGGAAATTTGTCTATGCAGCGTCCATATGCTGAAGACTCTGCCTCTTCATTTGTCCCCTCCACACTTTTCAGGAGTCAGCCAAAATCTGGATGGTCCTTCATGCTGAGAATTCCTGAGAAGAAGAACATGATGTCTTCCCGCCAGTGGGGACCAATTTTTCTGAAAGTGCTACCTGGAGGAATATTGCAAATGTATTACGAGCAGGGGTTAGAGAAACCCTTCAAAGAGTTGCAGCTTGATCCCCATTGCAGGCTTTCTGAACCCAAAGTTGAGAATTTTAGCATGGCAGGAAAGATCCATACTGTGAAGATTGAGCATGTGTCTTACACAGAAAAGAGGAAGTACCATCCTAAGACAGAAGTGGTTCATGAAGCAGACATAGAGCAGATGCTCAAGTTGGGGTCCACAGAGTATCGTGACTTCCTTGACTTTCTGACTACTGTGGAGGAGGAGCTGACAAAGCTGCCAGCTATTCCAAAACCAAAGAAGAACTATGAGGAGCAAGAGATTTCCCTGGAAATTGTGGACAACTTTTGGGGTAAAGTCACTAAAGAAGATGGGAAATTGGTTGAAAGTGCTGTGATAACTCAAATCTACTGCCTCTGCTTTGTGAATGGGAACACAGAATGCTTTTTAACCTTGAATGACCTTGAGCTGCAGAAGCACGATGACTGCTATTTTGAAAAAGACCCAGAAAGGAAGGGAATCAATATTCTTGACTACTATTTTCATAAATGTGTGAAAGACCAGGCGTTTCAGCAATCAAGAATCATTAAGTTTGTACCTCTTGATGCCTGCCGGTTTGAGTTGATGCGTTTCAAGACTTTGTATGGCGGGGATGATCTTCCCTTTTCTGTGAAGTCTGTAGTGGTTGTCCAGGGGGCATATGTGGAACTTCAGGCCTTCGTCAACATGGCGCCTGTGGCTCCAGGGCCATCTCACACCAGTACCTTGAAGTGCTGTGACAATATAATGATACACTTTCCTGTCCCATCTCAGTGGATCAAGGCCCTCTGGACCATGAACCTCCAGAGGCAGAAGTCTCTGAAAGCCAAAATGAACCGCCGGGCATGTCTGGGAAGTTCACATGAACCTGAATCTGAACCTGTTATTCAGGTGACCGTGGGGTCAGCAAAATATGAGAGTGCCTACGGAGCTGTGGTGTGGAAGATAGATCGGCTTCCTGATAAAAATTCAAGTAAATATCCAACACCTCAGTTGCTATTCATGGGAGATAGCATAAATGCTTTCACCCTCCTTCTCGGGTGCAAACCAGGCAGAGAGATGGTAATTTGTCAGCCGAGGCCTCGCTTCCATGGAGAGGGGGCAGATGGAACAGTTAGCCAAACAGCTGCTTTATTTCCTCTTGTGCCTACTTCTACCAGAAAAGTTCAACTTTTCCCATCTTTTTAATATCCTAAGAAATGCCATTCCGGACTAGGAATTCGTTGTGGATGGCGGCACCGAGGGAAAATTTGTAGCCATCTATGATTGGGCTTCTTGGCACCAGTCTGTCAACCTTAAAATACTAAAAATATTTCTAACATAGCTTAGATTCCCCAACCAATCTTTAAAGACCTCCACCTGAGTATTCCTGAACATTTCTTGTATTCTTTTAGAATATGGTGATATGTCTTCCTTGCTCTCTGAAAAAGACTATCTTTCATTTTTAACCAAATTGGTTTCTTTGGATGAATTTACCTATTTGACCACCTCAATTTGTTTTAAAATTAAGCAGCTACTTAAGCTGGAATTGGCTCAAGTGGTAAAGCACTTGCTTAGCAAGCATGAGGCCCTGAGTTCATCCCCAGTACTGCCAAAAAAAAAAAAGAAAAGAAAAGGAAATTAAGTAGATAGAACCCAACATTAAAAATTCAGTTAATTAAAAAAAATTAAAGTTCAGAACTTTGAAAAAATAGTCCTAGCCCCACATTTAGTTTTAGAATAGCAAATTATTAATGAGCACAGTATAATAAAACAAATGCAAATTTTGAAACTAGAGTTCTTTTTTTGGAGGTATTGGGCTTGAACTCAGTGCCTTGTACTTGCTAGACAAATGCTCTACCATTTGAACCATGCCTCCAGCCTGGCTTCTCTTATTTTTTCTTTTTCAGGTCTTTCTAGCTGAACACTGGATTGTGGAGATAAATTTAGGGCAGGTTTGCAGGAACTGAGTTGATTGTTCGATCCATCTTTACTTACTCGGTCAAATCTTTACTGGGCACTTACTCTGTACCAAGTGTGGGGGAGAAAGATGAATAAGATGTGGTCTCTGCAAATAGCTCACAGCTACTATAGACTTCAGGGGAACTTAACTCTCATCTTAGGCCTGTCCAGGCTAAGGGAGCATTTTATTTGGGGTGGCCCTACTATAGTTAGGCTGTATGTTAGAATATCCTGAGAGCTTTTAAATAATCTTGATGTTCACCTCATGACAATTAAATCAGAATCCCTGAAGGGAGGGACCTAGGTCTTAGTATGTATGAAGAACTCCCCAGATGAACTGCCCATGTCACCAGGGTGAGGAGTGCTTCCCTGTAGGCTGTGAATGATCTCGGGCAGAACCCACCTGTAGTAGACAACTTCCTGGAGGCTGTGGTGCCACCTTGTCTATGACATGCAGCTTGCTGGTAATGCCTATCAACTGCCTGGAGCTTGAGCTATGACAGGGTCCAGCAGGTAAGAGACACAGGCTTTCTGGACCGAGGAGCCTGCATCTCCTGGGCAAAAAGGACTAATTGTCCACTATTAGGGACACTCCACACTTTCCTTCATTGATGCCACATTCTACCTCACCACAGTCTCATGACTCCTATCAGCTATGATTCTGTCCCTATAGCATAGTGAGGCTAGCCCAGGCTCGGGGAAGGGACAGGGGTGCTGGTGTAGCTGATTATAATAGGTGGTCTCCAATGGTGCCTGCTGGCTAACTCCAGTGTGATGGAAAGGCCAGTATCTCCTGTGATCTAATCCATAGAGAAACCATCTTTTATAACTGGGCTTTTCTCAGGTTATTTTCACACCAGGGAAACAAGTCCAGATGTCTTGAGTACCAGGTTCTAAGTGATCTATTTTGAAAGCTACTTGTGCTACTTTTAGGCTTGAGGGGTAAGACAAAATCAGAATGTTGGCTTTTATTTTGATAAAGACAAGAGGAAAGACAGGAAGGCAGACAGGCTGGAAGGCTTTCCAGAACCACCTCCAGGAAGCTACAGATGGTCTCTGGGACTGGAACAAAAGATGAAACATAGTTTTTGCACAGATTTGAAGTAGTAAAGATGCCTCCAAGAGAGGAGTGCATGGAGCTCAGCCTGCTGGCTTGGACAGCTGGGGTCAGAGGGGCAGGGGGACCCTTTGGGAGCCCATCCTGCTGCCTTGCTTGAAGCAGGTACTCCAGGAAGCTCTGAAGGACCTAAGTACTTGTTTGACTTGGAGGAGACAACCATGCTTATTATTTCAAACCGACTACCATTTCCAATTTTGGAAGTGGAAAAATGTAAAACTTCTTGTGAAAGTTATCTGTTTATAGCAGATCATTTTCCCAGAATTCCCAGGTGTGGTTAACTGATTCAGTAAACAAGAATTTATTGAGAGAGGAGGGCCCACTCCTTCCTTTCATTCATTCCATAGCCATCCACTAAATTTCCTCCAGGTATAAACTCTGCACAGGATGCGTGGGAGATACAGACATAAATATGATCCTGGTCTTTAAAATGTAAAAGTCTAGCAAGTGAGACAGACCCAGGGGCACCTCCCCAGGTGCATTGTGCAGAAATACTCTGTTCCAGCCACAAACATGAACAATGGGTATCCCAGAGAACAGTGCAATCTAGTTCCGGCTGCTAGGGAATCTTGGCTGGAGAGCCAGTGGTTGAGGTTGGTGTGGAACAGTCAGTAGGATTTCCATCACAGTTAGAAGCAGCAGAATCACAGGCATGGAGGTGGGGATCTCACCTAAATTTTGGGACTGAGGGAGTCATGCTAGAATATGACTAGCACATGAAGACCTTGTGAGCCATACTGTGACTCAGAGTTTCTCAACAGGCCATCGGTGTTTCAGGTCTAATGTGACAATCAAATCTTGTCTTAGAAAGACAGATAAGCATTGTGAGAGAGGGAGGATTTCGTGATAGACACAGAGAGGCTGGCAGAAGGTGACAAAGCTGGCAGGAGTGACAGTGGGAGCTATGAGGAGGAGCCGAGTGGTGGGTAAGGAAATTCAGAATAGGTGTCCCAAGATGATGACAGACTATGGGCATGGGGCAAGGGAGGGGATGGAACGAGGTCAGGGTTCAATGAGCTGAGCTAGCCTGGGATCCCCTCGCCTTTGAAAATTAAGTCTGTCTCTCATCTCTGGCTGCAGGTTACAATCATTAGAGCTTTGCAGACATACAGGCTGAACATCCAACTCAAATTTCAGAAATCTGAAATGCTCCAAAGTCCACTGACATTATGAAAACTCCACATCATAATAACTTTGTGTGCACAAAATCACTTAAAATATGGTACAAAATTACTTTTAGGCTATGTATATAAGGTGTATATAAAGGTATATAAATGAATTTTATATTTAGACTTGGGTCTTATCCCCAAAGTGTCTCACTATGTATATGCAAATACTACAAAATTCAAAGAAAAATCTGAAACACTTCTGGCCCCCCACATTTTGAATAAGGGACCCTCAACCTGTATACATTCTTAGGCCCCTGTACACATACCAGCAGATTCTCTGTGGGTAGGACCGAGCTGTTGGGGTTTATAAAAAGCTGTCCCATGCAGCCCGGGTTGAGAACTACTGACCTAGTTGTGCTGGACACTTGGTGTGGTCTCCTCAGTAGAGATCTTTGTCCTTGCACTGGGTGTCTGTCTTCTACAGTACTATTATTTATTCCCCTCCCACTGGTATTTAGCATCAGTGAGAACACTGAGAACAATTATAAGAATGGATGTTCCTGGAGAGGTTGGTTGGACTTGATCTTGGCCTTCAGGGATTCCTTTCTGGAGACTGTCACAGTGCCAGGCCCACAAAGAACAGCGTTTTGCAAGTATTTCAGTCAGTTGTACACTGATAATGCACCGAACAAATCCTTTGGGATCAAAGCTGCTTTGTTCAGCTCAGATCTTAACAAGAAGAATGCTGGGGACAAGGCAGTGGGCGTGTTAGGGAGTCTGGAAGACAGGGTACAGCTCTGAGTGGCTGGGATGGGCACTGTGGGATCACTGCCCTTGAGGTTGCTGCATTATTGGGATGGGGAGGGCAATTGAGAGAACACAAGGGTGCTGGTCAGACTGTAGTCTAATTCGCCTTTTGAGAAGACGTGTAGAGGGAGGAGGTTGGGGCCCAGAAGGACTCTCTGGCTCAGAGCTGTGCTTCTCAACCTTGTTGAGTGGGCAGGAATCACCATACCAGTGAGGTGGGCCTGATTCTGCTGTGTTTCTGTACACACCGAGTGGTGTGTGGTGGAGGGTCAGTTAGCAGATACATCCCCAATCCTTCTCTTTTTTTTTTTCTACTGTGCTCTCTGTCCTTAGCATTTTGGTTCCTGTTCCTCTCCATTTATGTCAGTCTCCTACAATTCATTATCTTCAACCCTCAACAGTTCGGTTTCAGATGTGAAATATTTTGGTTCTCAAGGAATTTGGTATCAACCAGACCTGAGAAGATTTTGTGGTTTGCATTTCCCTGTCCTAAGCAAAAGAGGGATGTTGCATTACAGTTAGAAAAGCTGGACAGTGTCCCCGTGTGGTCATCACTGAGATAACAAGGCTTTCCTCTATATTCATTTGTTCCTAAATTCTCAAATATTCTTTAAGCCATTGTGCTAAGGACACACATAATACCTGTTGGCATGGAGCTCAAAATCTAAAGAGGGAATGTGTTAGTAAACATTGTAGGATATTTTGAGTTGTTGAATGTCAGGAAAAGACTCCAGAAAGTTTGAAAGGAAATGCTCTGTTGTCTTTTCACTTTTTAAGAAAAGCTGCTGGAAAGTCCTCATTTCTATAATTTTTGAAGTACTAGGTCTTCAACTCAGGTTTGATTTCTTTTCTTCAGTTTTTGTTGCAGAACTTGCCCACACAATTTTTTTCCTATAAAGTATGACTATCTAATCAGATCATCTCCAGTGTCATTTCAGCTCCATGTAGCATTCACAGTTAGCAAAATTATAGTCATTAGATAATAATACTGAATTTAAAATCAAATCATTTGACAAAGTCTCTGCCACTATAGAACAATACTGCTCCAGTGCTGGTTGGTTATCCTCAGTACCATCTTATAAGGTTCAGGTTATCATCATTGCCCTCATTCTCAGATGGGGAAACTGAGGCTCATGAAGGTGAGTAACTTGCCAAAGATCACACAGCTGTTAAATAGGCACTGGTTCGGGGTTTTTAAGTCTTAACCACTCTGCCATCACAGGACTGGAAAGTGCCTGGATTAAGTGCAAATGAACTTCCTGTATCTTTGCTGCAGCCAGAAGTCTAGACAGGATAACGATGTAACCTCTCACTGGGGGCATCTGTGAGTGAAGTTGTCCCTGCCTGTGGTGGTGTGGGTAGTGTAGGGCCCCTCACAGGCCGTTGTTCTCCTTCCCTCCATGTGAGTAGTGGAGACGGCTAATGAACTTCTGCTGGTTAATTGATGACTTCTCAAGGCTTTTACAGCCTTAGAATCCTATTAGTCTCTGTACAAGAAACAGGTTGTAAAGAACAAAAGGCAATTTATCTTTTAAGAATTAAGTGAAATCCTTTAAACTCTTGTTTTTGTGGCTAAAGTTCTACTCTGATGAAAGTGATCTTTCTCATGTTACATCAGTGGTACAGTAGTGTAATGTGGGTTTTGAAATTACTGTCTTCTCATCCATTTATTTAAGTAAAGATTGGATATTAGATGCTGTGGACAATGTGGCATGATCAGGGGCCATTTGTAAAGCTACTACAGTGAAATACACAAACACACACAGTGTGATACCACAAAAGATCTTTGAGTATGTCCATTATTTCTGGATCTGGCTCAGAGCCTAGCCTGGTGTAGTTCAGATGTTCAAGAATGACAAATTGCACTGAGCATGGTGGCTCAAGCCTGTAATCCTAGCTACTTGGGAGATGGGAATTGGGAGGATTTCAGTTCAAGTACAGTGTGGGCAAAATTTTCTTGAGACCCCATCTCAACCAATGGCTGGGTGCAGTGTACATGTTTGCTTTCATTCCAGCTACTTGAGGAAACATAAATAGGAGAATCACAGTCCAGGCCCACTCCAGGCATAAAGCAAGATTCTATCTCAAAAAAAAAAAAAAATGCAAAGCAAAAAGGGCTGGTGGTGTAGCTCAAGTGGTAGAATGCCTGCCTAGCAAGCATAAGGCCCTGAGTTCAAACTCCAGTACTCCAAAACCAAAACCAAATAAATAACAAATTGAATTGAGTGTGAACAAATATTAGATGGAAATACTGAGGGCCAGTATGCTCACCTCTACCCGGATATCTATTCTAATCAGAAAGACCACTGAGAATTACAGCAGTGAAAAAAAAATCTATTCTAAAAGAATTCTTGCTTGGAATATTTCTGAAATGTAATACAATTTCAAGCTTAACTTTTAAAAATCAGACTTTTAAAATAGGATATAATTTGAAATTTACCTTTGCATTATCTGTAAACAGTGGTAAGAAAAGTATTGTTGTGAAAGTCTATTCAGTGTACTTAGGAGAGAGGTTTCTCTAACCTAAAGCACATTGGAGCCAAATAATTATGTTTCATATAACTATTACTGTTGTCTTTTAATTAGAGAAAACGCTGCGGTGTTTGCAAGTGAAAGCATTCTAGGGATGGTCTATGCAGTGTATAGTAAGAAAGTTGTACTTCTTTTAGAGCTAGGTCACAAAAATGCAGATGGACTTCCTCCTACTTGGTACATATTGTGTGTGGATTTTGATGGGTGCTGTTTAGCTGGAACTGGCACTGCCGTAATACTAATGGAATTGCCTTTTATGTTCAGGAGAAACATTCAGTTGCCATTGAAATACTTTGACCATTGGATTTCTGTTTCCTCGAGGTCCTGATCATCCCCAATGTCTGTCATACAAACTAGAACTTGGATCGGACCAAGAAATTCCATCTGATTGGTATCCATTTGCTACTGTGCAGTTCTCGATGCCTGACACCTATGCCTCAAGGACAGAGGTCAGCTCTCTGGGGGTGGACAGTGATGTCCAGCCACAGAAACATGTTCACCAGCGAGCTTGCTACAACATCCAGGTACATCCCACCTTGGTTCAAGTTGGGGCTTCGAGAGCTGGAGGCTGGCTTCTGGTTTGGCTTTAAATAACTGCTTTGTCCTCTCTTAGGTGACAGTGTGTGTGTGAATATGTGTGTGTGTGTGTGTGTGTGTGTGTAATACTTAACTAGGGAAGAGCTCAGCCATGGAAACTTGATGGTCACTATTTTCAGTGAAAAACAGGACATTAAAAATGAATTTAACATCTTGGAAGCATATTTATAATACAGACTATGATGTTCAAGTAGCATTTCCCAAAACATACTGAACATGTGTCTCATACAGTGATCCAAGAAAAATATAAGTTAGGAACTACCATATACTAAATTAATGTTAAATGAAGGCTCTGAGAAGTCCTGCAATAAGAAAACTTGTTTAACTTACTTAACCTAGTTTTCCTAACTCATTGACTAAGGAGTCTTGTCTGTTGGGTAAATGTGTTTCAAACACACATCAATACCTTGTGGAAGCCAGGTGCTGGTGGCTCATGCCTGTCATCCTAAGCTACTTGGAAGCAGAAATCAGGAGGATTGTGGTTCCAGCCCAGCCCCAGCAAAAAAAGTTCATAAAAGTTCCCCCATTTCAATGGGGCAAAAATTTGAACATGGTAGTGTGTTTCTGTCATCTCAGTGATGACAGGAAATCTAAAAGTAGGAGGATTATGGTTTAGGCTGGCCTGGGCAAAAAGGAGACCTTATCTAGAATAACCAGAGCAAAGAAGGCTGGCAGTGTAGCTCAAGCAGTAGAGGACCTGAGTTCAAATCCCAGTATTGCCAAACAAAAAAAAAATCTTGTGGCTAGTGGTCTATGGAGCATCTTTTGGGGAGTACTGAGTCACTCTGTTACAAGAATTTTAAATGTTCACCATCAACTCTTCTGCAACTTGGGCCAGAGGAATTCCAGAGCAACATACCCTGTTTTTTTGAGATAGAGTCTTGCTATGTAGTCAGGCTAGCCTTGAAGTTTTGATCCTCCTGCCTCATCCAGGTCCTGAGTGCTGGGATTACAGAAGTGCACCACCATGCCTGCTGTTACTTTTTTTTTTAGTTAGAAAATACTTCCCAAATCACCAAAATTGAATAGCCTGTAACAAACAGGTAATACAGTTTAGAATTGATATGTCTTCTTTTTCTCTTGAGTATGAATAACATTTATACTTTTAATAGCATTTAAAAATCTGTGTGTTGTTTGAGTCTCAGCTAAGTTTAGTAATATTCTGATTTCTATTATCCTGTTAAAGATAGTGTGAGTATTTAAGACATTGTGTACACCAACTGGTGGTGGTACAATGTAGTGATAAAGCCAGGATATTCCTTTCTTTTGGACCATCTGCTTAGAAGTCTGTGTGAGTCCAGTGAGCTCTTTTCCTCTTGAAACTGCTGATGGGTGGCTGATGCGTAGTGCCCTTCACTTAGCAATGAAGCACTCACTTCCCCAGTGCCTGTGGCTGCCCTGCTGAAGAGAGCGGCCTTGCCCACGGTCAGCCTTAGTCCAGTGAGGGGGAGATGTAGCAGGATAAAGTCCCCTGTGCATCCATTTGGACAAACGCTCAGAACCATCCAGCATCAGCCTTGGGGGCATTGTCTGAAGCCTTTAGGACAACTGCATTGCAGCCTGTGTCTCCTGTTCTGCTTCCTCCTCTGCCTTCACTCTCCCACGGGGATGGACTACAGCACTCCCCAGTAAACTTTCTGCACTTCACAGAGTTTATCAGAGTCTGCTTCTTAGGGAGCCTGACTTACTGAACTGCAGGTCAAGGGCTCACAGTGACATCACTGATACCTATGTTCCTGTTTATAGGATATGCCAGTATCATAGAGTTTGAGTAGACAGCTCAAAATTATTTAACGAAGCATCATCAGCTTTAATAGCATTTATCAGTCAGTCTATACCTGCTGGAAGTTTCAAAATGCTATCTTCCATTTAATAAGTGTCTGTTGAGCCTGTCATGGTGCCAGGCAGTGCTGTACATGGGGAGACGTAGCAATGAACAAGAGACAAAGGCCCCATCCTGTGGGGCTTCTGGAGGCAGAAACAAAAAGAGTTAATATACAAATAAATAATATAACTCCAACTAGTGGCAAATTATAAAAAAGAGAATAAAGCAGGATTACAGGATAGAGTGACAGGGGCTTTCTTTATCTAGGGTGGCCCAGGAGGGCCTCCACGAGGAGGCAACATTTGAGCTGAGATTAAAAAAAAGATGAAGGGATAAAGGAGAATGATGGAGGGGGTGAATTCAACTATGATGTATTGTAAGAACTTTTGTAAATGTCACAGTGTATCCCCAGTACCACAATAATAGGATAATAAAAAAAAATGTAAAAAAAGAGATGAAGGATAGATAGATGGTTTGGCTCAACTGGGTTACTAGTTTATAATCTAGTTTGTTTCAGTTAGGAGAGACAATTTTGAGTGTGTTAGGAACCTCAGGTAGAGCAGTGGCTGTGTATGTGGCACTTGGGGACATAGTGAATCACACGTCTAACCAGATCTATAAATGTCTTAACATACATTCTGTATATGAAATTAAGAATGAATGTACATTTTAGAAGCATATTCAAAATAAAAGTGATGGTGAAACCTATGACTTAGAGAGTTGCACATCTGACCCTGGAGGGAAGGATTGGTGGGGGGTGATCCATAAGACAACAGAGTACTCCCCTGCTGAGCTGGGAGAGTGAAGGGACTGTCCATGTCCACAGGGTGAGGTGGGCCCTGACCTTGCTTCGTGTATAAATAGGACTGAAGAGGTGTCGGTGTTGTGTTGCATCTGCTAATGTTGCCTGTGTTTTGCTTTGCATAACAGGTTGAAATAGAAAAGAAATGGATTAAAATTGATGGAGAAGATCCAGATAAAGCCAGTGGCTGTGTGACTCAGTAGGAGTAGCAAGTGTAAACGAGGACAACCCAGTATAAATTGTACAACTTACAGACCAACTTCAAGCTGTCACATGGTGGAAATGACTTCTGTGTAGTAGGTTTGGGACATGTCCCGTGGTTGTGTTTAGAGAAGTGTAGGTCTAAAACCAGACCATCTGTATTGTATGCTTTTGATATGTTTTTGCCCCAAGGGTTTGATCTAAAAAAACGTGTCTAGAATTTGTGTGATATTTTGCTTCCTGTTGAAACTCAAAGGCACTGTTATCTGATGTGTGACCTGGCAGCCAGTTTGGCTGAAGGGGTTTTGATTTTTGATTGCTTTATGGCTTCATTTTGTACTCTGGGTTACTGTACTGTATTTATTATCCCTCAGTTCCCATCTCTTCTTGCTGTGTTAGGACCTGGACCACAAGGAAAGGCAACCAAAGGAGACATAAACCAAAATGTTTAATTTCCCCTCCTGCTCGTCTCTGAAATGTGGTGATGTAATGATGCTGAAACCACAGGGTAACCTGGGGATTTGGAAGTATGTGTGGTTTTGAATTATTTAGATTCCTGTCCTCTGACCACATTGTTAAAGTAACCGTTGGTTGCACTTGGTACCTGCCTTCCTCCCACCGTATTATCATTTTCAAAGTACATAGTATTGCTATAAAGACTCTTTCTATTGATACACAGATTTTAATTCAAGTCACTCAGACATGGTGCCTTGTGGTTGGTGGGATTCCTTCCAAAACGGAATCAGAGTATTGGATATGAGTTAAAATATTTATGTATACATTAAAGATGAATTTTTAAAGCTCATGAATATTATTTTCTAAAAGTTAAGATTCTAAGAATGTATTTTGATAAAGTATTACTTGCAATTAACATGAGCCTCTCGAGTAGAAGTCTAAATCATATTATGATTATTTTGTGCTAGTGCCACCATATGCATTTCATGCTAATTCTGCTGAGTTTAGAGTATTTTTCTTTAAAAGATGACTAAAGTGAGAGACACTTGAGTATTTTACCTAGATTTCTAATAGAAGACATTTCTTCTATTTTTCCAAGTCATAAAAATGACTATAATAGCTCAGTTTCTAGTGAAAAACCAATGGTATTAGCTGTTATAATTCTACTTATAATTTCCTTTTAGGATTGATAGTGATAGATCAGAATTTTAAATTTATGAAATCTATGTTCTGAGTATTTTCTCATCTGAAAAACAAACTCTTCCATGGAGTATTAATATACCTTCAATTTATGTCGAATCTTAAGTATAATTGGGAGACATTTACTGTATTTGTTTTGAGTCAAAACTGATATTATGTTCTTCCAAACAACATTTATTTGTTGGCTTACAGAGTTTTTTTATACGTTTAATTTAATATTGTACTGTGTTCATTTTCATCTATTCAAATAACAGATTACAACAAACATTTATAATGGTCTGTATCAACCAGCAGATTTTATTGCTTTTCATTTTTTTACTGCAAAAACACAGAATACAAAAGTCAATGGCAAAAAATTGAATTGATATTGCTCTTTTAATTTTGCTTGATGCATTGCTCATAATATCATATGTTAGAGACTCACTGTTGATATGTAGGAGGGCAAATCAGTGAGTGTGTGTGTATGATTTTTAAAAATCCCACCATCTTTCCTTGTCATCTGGCATGAGCACACTCTGACTTCAATCTGCTCTGAAGAAATAGGGAGATGGGCCAGATTTGAAGCTGTACTACTATCCCAGGAGTTAGCTGGGTTAATTACTGCCATTCCTCTCTAAGCATTTTTTCTGGCATCCTGCCCATAAGGAACTCACAGTCTGATTCAGATGAGCCTAATGAATATTTACACCTTCAAAGAACTTTAGCAAAGGGTTCAGTTAGTCAGCTCTCATGCTTCACAGGTTGACTAGTATCTGTGGGTACCTCACCATTAGGGTCATTTACTCACAAGCCACCCAGCCTTCAGGGGCACCTCAAGATTCAGTGCTGAGAACACAGTAACAAAAGACTGACTGAAGCCCAAATTGAGTTTCTGCAGTAATGCAAAGGTTGATAGCATTAACAGTGGGGTGCCATCGTGTAACTGTTAATTTGCACATCTATTAGGACTTTAAATATTCATTACCTAGTGTGAAATTAACATTTTGTGTAGGGACAGAGGCTTTTTAATACAATTTTTCTGACCTTAGAAATGGAGGTCAACTGTGACTACTGAGCTCTAAGTGAAAAATCAAGTCAGGTCCATTTACATTTACTAAGTAAGAAGCAGAATCTCCTTTGCCAGAAAGTAAACCATGAGCTTCAAAATCCTCTGCTTTTGAGGTAGGCAGGAAGGGAGTAAGGAAGAAACACTTTTTTTTTTTTTTTAAAGCATTTTAACTCAGCTCACTTCTTATGAGACCAACCATTTTGGAATCAGTTGTTTGACTGACACCATGGCCATTCTTCTGTCATTGCTATGGTCTAGTCACCTCACTAATCACGGGGTCATATTAACTGTAAATGAATCCATGAGCTGATTATTGCATGATCATCTGTGTTTGAGAACATTTCCTTTTGCTATGGGAATCAACAACAGTTTATTCATGAAACAAGGTATGAAGAAGGATACTTTCCAGCACATAAAGGCTAGAATTTTGACCTGATATATATATTACAGTTCTAGGATTTTAGTTCCCTTCATTGAGGAGGTTACAATACAGCCCTCTTTCTTAAAAGTTCAGCTAGAAGACCTTCCTTAACCACGAGTACTGTAATGTTTTACTCAAAATATAACTTTGTGTCCTATCAATACAAACATAAAACAGATTGAGCCTTAATAATCATGTAACAAAGTATTTTGTAGATTGCATATTGATTTTTCTAAAATTAAAGATGTATTTCAAATAATTCTTGCTGTGCTATGGACTTCTTCTTTTGCAAGGCCTGAGGCTATTTTTTAAAAGTGTGAAATCTATGTCAAATAGCCTTAAACAGTTGACGCTCTTTTGTCAGGTATATGTGCACAACCTCACTATTAAGGAGTCATTAAACATGGAATCTGATATATTCTGGAAAAACTACACTATCAAACTAATTGATAATATTATGAAGAATGATTTTGAAAGAGATGATGTAATCACAACTCATAAAGACATGAAATGAGTATGCCTGAAAGACTATTCAACTCATTAACTAATGGTGGTATTGCTAATAACTGGGAACATTCAGAGCATTCAGAATGCTCTGAATTGAGGGAATTCTGAAGTGAATTTGCAGATAGATGCAGGATGGGTCTAAGTCATTCACAGTGCAATACTCAATAATTCTTATCCTGACACAATTTCCATTTCTGTGGACAAGAATCATGTACATTAATATTTGATTTATGCAATTTTCCGATTTGTAAAATAATTTAAGGACAACAAAAGGTGTGGGGAACCTGGGTAAATGAGGTGGATAAGGCTTAAAGTCTTTCACCATTTTTTTCTGATAGTAGCGCAAACCTTGTCCATGGGAGAATGGAATTGCATGACATCAGTAACTTGTATAGTAGTACTGTATAAATCATGTACATTTAGAAGCAAAACTTTTAAAATCTAGAAAACTTTTTACACAACTGTGTAGAATGTATTTCAGATACATTCTGTAGGAGGTGGGATGTGTGGGGCTGGGGAGGCCATAATAGACATGAAGGTAAATCAGTGCTGATAAAAAGCCAACCTAATGAAACCAACCTCTCCATCCTTCATTTAATAAGAAAACTGACATTTGCCAAATTAATATTTTATTTAGCTATTAAAGCTAATATTTCAAAACTCTTATCAGCCCTTCGTAGAGGCCAAAACCTTACGTACTGTTTTAGCTACTCTGGTAGTAACAAGGCTTGGCAATAGTTCTTCAGAAACATCAAAAGAATTAAGTGGCATAAACCAATCTTCAGAACTACAGTCTGCAAATCTCCATCAGTCAATTCTTCCATGTGTTTTCTTCCAACTTCATCTAGACTTCCCACCTACTTTATGCAGACACACATGATTTCTTTGTCATCTCTCCATTCCCTGCAGCTACCCCATTCCAAGGACCTTTTGGGCCTTACTCAGGAGTCTAGAGTGTAGGGGTATGTGTATTTCGGTGGAATACTGGCAATTGCCAGTATATATGCTTCTTGGTGGGAATTTCATGAGGTCAACCTAATTACCTGCAAATTTTTCTGGGTTATATGAAATAAGGATATTCTTTTTATAAATTCCTGCCTAGAACTGACATAGAAATATGAGTTTGACTCCAGTTGATTTTGTGTGGGGAGGAGGGGGACAGGGATCGAACCTAGGACGTTGCACATACTAGGCAAGCACTCCCACCACAGGTATATCTCCAGTCCATAGGTAATTTTTAAAGTAAGGTAGTTAAAGTAAGATCAGAAGCAAATAGTTGAGTTACAAAAAAATACCATGGATAAAGCTGAAGGTAATAACTGTGCCTTTAAAAGTATTTTCTACCAGAAAAAGAATTGCCCCATGTTTTGAAAAATTAAGTTTATGCCCAAGAAGAATTCCTGAAGAAGAGCTGCAAGTGACTGTTTCACGAAGATTGAGGCTTGATACTTCCCCTTCATGCATCTGCACCAGCACAGACTTCCAGACCCCAAAAGGAAATACAGTTCATGAAAGGAATATGATTATGTGTGTGTTGACATTTTCCTGAGAAGCCCCTTTTGTTCTACCCAGAATTACTGTGAAGCCTTTGGAACGGTAGGACATAATTCTGAGTGAGGTTAGCCAGGCCCAAAAGATGAAAAATCATATGTTCTCTCTCATATTCGGACATTAGATCAAGGGCAAACAACAAGGGGATTGCACTTTTATCACATGATAAAGAAAGAGCATACAAGGGACGTATGAGGATAGGTAAGACACCCAAAAAACTAGATAGCATTTGTTGCCCTCAACACAGAGAAACTAAAGCAGATACTTTAAAGCGACTGAGGCCAATAGGAGAAGGGAACCAGGGACTAGAGAAAAGATTAGTTTGAGAAGAATTAACTTAGAAGGTAACACACATGCACAGGAAATCAATGCGAGTCAACTCCCTGTATAGCTATCCTTATCTCAACTAGCAAAAACCCTTGTTCCTTCCTATTATTGCTTATACTCTCTCTTCAACAAAATTAGAGATAAGGGCAAAATAGTTTCTGCCTGATAGCGAGGGGGTGGGGGGGAGAGGGAAGGGGCGGGGGGAAAGAGAGTTTGCC